GAACCTAGTTCCCAAGAAATTGACCCCAGTTGTAAAATAATCAGGTTACTGATAGCACCTGCTCCTAGTTACCCGCCATGGATACAGGCGCGTTTCTACCGTTTCCCCTCTGCTCTCCCATTTTCTCCTCCTCCTAGGCTGGGCAGTGGTTGGTGCTGGTTTGCCTGCAGAGGAGGAAGGGCCGCAGAACCTGGGTGGAGAGAAGCTGAACCTGCCCATGAATTTTGGACCGCAGATAAGAGCAGGGAGGGGTCGGTCGGTTCCTCTCCTTCTGCCCAGAGTCAGGGCTCCCAGACTGGGGTGTGTCCCAGCAGCTGTCCCAGCAGCAGCCCCACACATTCTGGAGTTCCCTTTTCAGGAGACCCGCAATGGCTCAGGCCCTTTGGGGGCCGAATGAGGGACTTTTATCAACAGGTGGCAAGGCTGTAGGCTTCAAGGTGTCTGAGGGCAGAGGTAAGAGGAGCGACTGCCTGGTCACTGGGGAGAGGGCCCAGCAGTACGGGATCAGATATACTCTTATTTTCTAATGAAAATGTCACTGAAGTTTGCAAATGAAAGGCAGAAATGAGTAGACCAAGTTCCCTTGAGAGTCCAGGAGGCCAAAGCAAGAGGTGCCTGACTCGTGACCTCTGGCTGAGCAAGGAGAGCACCCTAGGTCAGGGCCTGAGACCCCACCACTCCCAAGCCTGTGCTGGCCGCCTCCCGCAGCTCCCCCCACCCCCTGGCCCGGACTCTAGCATCTCCCCCGACCCGTGCTGCGCAGCCACTGATGGGCTCGCCGCTGTGTGTGCTGGTAATTGCCTGTGTAATTAGCCCGTTCCCCAAGCCCTGGCTCTGTGGGAGTGGGTGAGGTTTCAGTCTGCCCTCCGCAGCTGTGGGCTGTGCTGTCACAGGCCGGTGGCAGAGGGGTCTGGGCATGCTTCTCTTCCAAGACCGCCCCAAAAGTCCAGTTGTGGCCGCTGTGTAAGTTCGACCAGGACTTTACTCTTTTTCTGCTTGTAAGTCGGGTTAACCACACTTGATTTCTCGGAAAAAAATGGCCATAGCAGTAGTGTCAAAATGTGGACTAGAACCTCCGCCTTCTAAGCCAGGGTTCATGGAGCAGAGTCCCGGGGGGAGGGCACTCTCTGGGGCCTGCTTGAGAGTCCGTGGGTAACTGGGGAGGGCGTGCACAGCCCTGTCTCTTGGCCCTTACCAGCAGATCACAGGTTTTCGCTGGTGTCTCTCTCTAGGTAACAAGGTCCTAGAGGGAAGGAACCACAGTCATCTGTGTCCCCAGCACAACACGAGCACATAGTAGATGCTCACTAAATGTGTGCAACCTCATTGAGGGAGTGTGTGTAAATACAGCTTCGTCTCCCTTGAGTGTGCTTTGGTTCTCACCCTGAGACACTGTGTCGCTCAGTGGGTCAGAGGGTGGCTCTCTGGGTCGGAGGGTGGAGGTGCGGCCACACTGTGGGGTGGGCTCTGGGCGCAGACCACCTGCCTCCGGAGCCCTGCTCTTCCACTCACCGTGGGGCCCTTGGGCGGCCGGGGCAGGTCTCCAAGGGGCAGGCCTGACATGGGTGCCCGCCGTTTGGTTCTGTTTAGTTTAGTTTAGTTTAGTTTAGTTTTTGGTTTGTTTGTTTGTTATGGAGCAGTTGTGAGGAATTCTCCTAAAACCCTTGTCCCAGAGGCCCTTGTGTGTGGGCCCTGGTGTTCTTCATTATCGGGTGATTGGGAAGTCAATGGGAAATGCAGCTCACCTCTTCCCAATTAGACTTGTCCGGGCAGGGAAGGGTGGAGGGGGTCATCTTGGTGGCTGGTCACAGGAGGAGAAACCCCAGGCTCTGCAGGGTGGCAGCAGTACGGGGGTGGAGACAGGCACAGCAGGGAGACCCTGCCTGGCTGTTCCTTGATGCCACCCGTCTGCTCGAACGCAGGGCTCATCTAGTCTCCGTTCAGGAGCTGTGTGCCGTGGGACCGGGTCGCCACTTGTCAAACTCGGGCCACATCCTCCTTCCACACCAGCACCATGCCAGGTGTCTCCGCCGCTTCACTGCGTCTCACAGGCTGCATGGGGGGTCTGGGAAACCTCCAGCCTCATCCCCACCCCTGGAAGGACTTGAGATCATCCAGGGACAGACAGGGCAGAGCCCCACCGTGGGTTGACACAGCGCAGCTGTGGGGAGGGCTCGGGTGCCTCCATGCAGGGACTGCCGGTGCCGGCGGACGGATGCTGTGAGAACGAAGGCTGAGGCCCGAGCCGGAGCTGGTGGGTGAGACAGGTGTGTGTTCAGAACTTGGGTTGTGGAGTGCCACAGGAGGTCAGGTGCTCCAGCTGAGGGGGACAGGGGGGCAGAGACTGGGCGGCAGGAAGGAGGGTGTCTGGGCCTTCAGGATTGAACACCTCTGGTTCCGCAGTTTGTAAGCTTGTGACCTTGGGCAAGCGCCTTAACCCCTCAGAGCCTCAGTTTCTCACCCGTACGATGGGGCTGATAAGTAGACCTACCTGGTGGGCCTGCAGGGAGGATGAAATGAGAGGGCCAAGGGGAGCACTTGGCACCTGGTGAACTTGGCATCTGTGAATGTTTTCAACTTGGCAGAGTGCGGGCAGAGCATGGGCACCCGGAGCGCTGCACCCAGCGGTTCTGCCTCCTCCCTGCTCCTCCGTGAGGACACCGTGTTTGGTGGAACTGTCCACAAGCCTTTCTCTGGGCTGCAGAGAGCCCCGCCCGGGGTGATGGGTTGGGGACCCTGCCATGAGGCTCCACTGCCCCCAGCCTAGCCCCTGGCCACAGTGGCCTCCAGGCTGCTCCTCAGACCCCCCCACACACTGGCACGTGCTGGTGCCCAGAAGGCTCCCTGTATAGAACCCTCCCCCGCCAGGGCAACCTTCCTCACTTCCCGTGGGCTTCCGCTCAGGTGTTTCCTAAGCAGCGAGGCCCTCCCCAGCCACGGTTCCCTCTCCCGGTGCCTCTGCTTTGTCTTGCTCTGGTCCCTCCTCCCCACGGGGCTGATGTGTTTTTCTGCTGATTGTCATCCTCTCTCCTGCTGGGCAGTGAGGGCCAGGATTCTGTCCTACCCAGCACCTAGCAAGTGCTGGGCTCATAGTAAGTGCTCAGTAAATACCTGTGGACTGAAGGCAGGAAGCGCCTTGACTTGGTGGGGCTTCCGGTGCTAATGGATTCAGTCTTTTAGATCCTGAGTGCTTCAGCAACACCCCAGAGCCAGGAGAGGGCCTCCCTCCCTCAGGGCTGACCCTGAGCGTGGTGTGCCCTGGGCAGCCAGGAAGGAGCAAGGTGCCCAAGCAAGGATGCCCTGTTCCTGGCTCCTGCGGGGCCTGGGTGGCCTCTGTACCTCCCAGGGTGCTCTCTCCTGCCAGCCTCCCCCTCACTCTTGGGGTCCATCCTGGGAGTACAGGGGAAAGTTTTGTTGTCCCTTTGTGCAGAACACGTGTGTCCCTCTGGGTGTAGAACAGGGTCTGAGTGAACACAAGTGAGTGTGTTTTCACCCCAGGAAGATTGGGCGGTTGTGCTTATGTGTAGGGAGCAGGGCAGCCTGGGGGAGGCAGGCAGAGTGTAAGTGTGGGGGTGGGCAGGAGGGGGAGAGGGCACAAAAGGACACATGGCCTCTGTCCCCTGAGGCTCCAGGTAGGCCTCATGGGGACCCCTGAGCTGGGCAGAGCCAACGTGGTGACCCGGCTCACGTGCTCCAGGTCCAGCCTCGAGGACCAGGTCCAGCCGCGGAGGGCACACTGGCTGCTGCACAGAAGCTGTAAATTCCAGGAAACTCCCTGCCAGCCCAGCGTGGCGGGGGAGGGGCGGAGGCTAATCCACACTGGTTCCCTCGCACTTGGAGAACAGATGTGTCTGCCTCGGGGACAGCCTCCGAAGAAAACTTCCAACCAAAGTGTGTTTGCTCGTTATAAAAGAGTTGTCTGTGAGGGGGCCCTGGAGGGGAGGCTTTTTTTGGAGGAGGAACTAGGGGGCCTCTGCCAGAGGTCCTTGCTGGGGGGCCCACAGATGCCATTGTATCTTGCTAGAGGGGAAAGGGGAGGGGGCGAAGCCAGCTCGGGGTGTGGGAGCTGCTGGGTCATCTTTCTTGCGATTTACAGCCAACTCCCAAACACAGTTGCTCGCAGCTCCTGAAAGAGGCTGGGCCAAGTAGGAGGTGGGGTCCCTTCCCGCTGGAGGGCTGGATTGCTGGATCGCAGGGGCCCCGCCCTGGGGGTTCCCAGATGACTGGCCAGGGGCTCACTGAAGCCAGCCAGGGGAGAGGAGGCAGGCGTGGTCCTCTCCAGCAGGCCCTCCGGCTGTTTGGAAGGCCCTGGCGGCCCCCCAGGTCCTTGAGCCAAACCCCCTTTGCGGTCTGATTCGAACCCTCCGCGCCTGCCCCACCCCCTTCCTTCTCTGTACTTCTGGGCCTGGCCCTTTCAGCCCTGGAAGCTGCCCAAGAGCATATCTTTGAAGCACAGCAAAGGTTAGGAAGGAGGAAGACAGAAATGTCCTCTGGGTTGGGGGAGTGGGAGAAAGGAATTCCATGCACGCTCCCCGGGAACCGGAGTCATAGTGGGGGCGATCGGCCTGGCCTCGGCAGTGCGAGCCGGTCCTGCCTCCCCTTCTGGCGGCCGGGCCCTGCGCACAGTGAGCTCTCTTCTCCAGGCTGTGGGCCGCCAGTGGGGAGCGGTGGCCCTTGTTTACAGTGCTTGTCTCAACCTTGGCTCACGAGGGTAAGAGCCAGGCCCTGCTATCCGCCCTCACAGGATGCAAGACCTCATAATTGTCTTCAATTACAGGCAGCACCGGCCCTCAGCCCTGGCTTCCAACAGGAACCAGAGCCCGAACCACTTCCATGGGGGGCAAGGGGAGCCACCCAGCCCCTACGGCAAGGTTTGGGGGCTCCCTGTGGCTTTTGGGCACTTCCAAAGCCCACAGCCCATGGGGCTCAGCCAGACTGCTGCTCTGGGGCTGCATCAGGCCTGGGCCTGTTGAACATCCGCCTTCTTTGTCCCCGATCAGGATGAAACTTCTGTGAGCAGTGAAGATTTTGATATGAACGACTCCACATGGATGTCAGCTGACCCACACCTGGCCTCCAGCCTGAGTCCCAGCCAGGACGAGAGGATGCGGAGCCCTCAGAACCTCCACAGCCAAGAGGATGGTGAGTGTCCCTTGGTGGCCCGCAGGGAAGGGGCCGCACCTGGGACCTGGAGGCCTAGGAATCTGGGGTGGTGGAATCTGGGCTGGGGGCTCTAGGGGTGGCTTCCAGCTGCCCCTGGTGTCCTGGGTATCTCCGCCAGTGCCCCAGCCCCTGGTGCCAGGGGAGCAAGTCCTCCTGAAGGGAACAGGCAGCCCGGCAAGTGTCCTGTCTGTGTACCCTGATGCTCGCAGGCTGGTGGAATACAGATGTCGGATGTGGAAGTTACCCCAGTTCAGGTCTGGGAAGGTCATTAGCCAAGGACCCAGCAGTGAAAGCACGAGTTGGACATCTGTAGCTTGACGTGAGGCTGTAGGACAGGGTCCCTGTCTGTCACCTGTAAGCCAGCAGGCAGTGCACTTGTCCACTGTGTGTCCCCAGCCTCTTAGGATGGGAAGTGGCCCGGCGGAGCTTCCCCAAGCTCTGGCCCCCCCTGCCCTCCAGAACTGGCCAGGCAAACTCCTCTGGCCTCCCTCAGAACAGACGCTTTCTCCTTGGGATGGGAGAGTTGGGCTCAGAACTCAGATCCCAGGGGTCCACTCTGGAGGGTCTCTGCAGAGCCCCCAGGGGGCCGGGGCTCTGGGAGGACCAGCGCCTCTGCCAGCGCCTCTGCCAGCTACAGGCAGTCGCGGGTGTGGGTGGGGTGGCACCCATGGTCAGCGTCTCTGGTGGGGCTCCGTCTGGTTTCCAGGGAGGTGATGGGGGTGGGGGATGAGCCCAGGGCTGAGCCTTAGAGATGTGGGGTGTAGAGCCTGCAATTAGGAGGGGTCAAAGGTTGGGGCCTGGAATGCCGGAGGGAAGTGCAGTGTTAAAAAGGGGTGTAATGTTAACTCTGGGAAACGGGTTAGCCTTAAAGAGTAAATAAGGGGTAGGAGCCTTGCAGTTTGGGTCAAAGTTCGTCTCCATGGCAGAACCCGCGCCTGCCTCCCTCCTGCCCTCGCAGGCCTGAATCCGGCTTTGTCTGGGAGGAGACCAAGCCTGGAGGCAGCTGGGGAAGCTGGGCCAGGGGCTGGGGAGCCCAGAGGGTGGTTTTGCCAGGACTGGGGTACAAGGCTGCTGGGAAAGAAAAGACTTTTGTGCCCTGACACCTCGTGAGGTCAGCACGACCCCCTCGTGCTGTGAGCCTCCCCACCAGAGCCTCCCAGACCAATACCACCTCCCAGTATTCCCATGGGTGGAGGCAGCCACATGCTGCTGGGGGCTCAGGGCTGGGAAGTGCCCAGCAGCTGACCTCCCTCCTCATCTAAGCTGAGCGAAGGCCACACCAAGAGCCAAGCCTGCAGAACTCAGCCAAGGGCGTAGGGTTATACCTTCCCAAGAAGGATCCAGAACATTTTTTTAAAAACCCGAGTAGTAGGACTGAATGGGGGCCATATTTCTTCAACTCATTCTTTTAAAAAATTCTTACATTACCGTTGCTCAAAACCACCTTTTGGGAGTCTGATCTCTGTTGGAGACACTTCCCAGGGAGATTTGGCGCTTTGGGTGGTGGTGGGGGGTGGTCTGGTCCACCAGGATCAGGTAGCAGAAGGGAGTGTTTCTGTGGGGGTCACGGCTTCCTCAGCATCAGTTTCCCAGCTGCCTGGGGCTTGGTTGATCAGGAAGATGAAGTGGAGAGAAGCAGCAAGACTGCGGGGAGGGGGTGGCGGGCAGCGAGACCCGTGGCCGGTTCCATGGGAGCTCGAGACCGGGGCCTGCCTGGGCGTGGTCCTGCATGTCCCCCTCCTGGTCCCGGGGCTGAGGCAGGCTGGCCTGCGCACAGGACCAGGGTGTTTATCAGGGCAGGCCAGAGCTGGAGACAGGGAGGTTGGTGTTGACTGTGATACCATCAATTTAATTATTTAATCAGAGGCTGTGTCTGGAGGCTGTGGACTGATGGGCAGGCCAGAGGCGGACCTAAACCCGGCACAGGGGGTCACAGGGCTTGAGAAGGCCCAGCTGTCCAGCCCGGTCTCTGCTGCCCCTTCTGGTTCTAGAGCTGTAGGTGACTGCGGTGTTTCTCCAGAGCAGTGGGTTCCCACAGGGTTTTGGCTGGCCCAGAGTCTTCGTCCTGCCCTCCAGGCCCCACGGTGGCATGTAATCAGCTCCCCGGTCTGATGGTGCTCACAGTGTGGACACAGGCCGAGATCTGGCTCCCATCAGTGAGTCGACGGGAGACCGCCAGACTGCAGAGTGTTCTCATGTCCCCCTGTTGTTGACGACGGGCTGGGGTGGGGACAGGCCGGGCAGGGGCTCAGGTTGACTGTGTACTCCGAACCCAACCAGCAGCACTCTGGGGTGGCTTGCTGTGTGGTCTCTGGCCATTAGTCCTCCACGGAACTGGCAAATTGGAAAGATGAGGTCTGAAGCTCCCATTGTGAGTTCTGCAAGGCACAGCCCATGTCAGTCTTGCTCTCCGCTCCGTCCGCAGTGACTTCAGCTGCTTGCTTGGCACGCTACAGGGGTCCGCTGACTGTTGTTGCCTGAATGGAGAAAGAAACATTTATCCAGACTTGCCCCTCAGTGCACCATCCAGAGGGGACCTAAGTCCACCCTTTGTTGGGGACAAGTTGGGTTCTTTGTTCCTGAGGACATCCCTAGTCTGAGTACCTGGGTCTCTTTTCCCTTAGCCAGAAAGTGTGGGGGCCCCCAAGGCTGTGCCAGGGAGTTACCCCCTCCGGCCCAGAAGCATCTCAGGAAGGCAGGTGGTTTGTACATGACTCACACCTGTTGGCAGATGTGTTGGAGCCCTCCTCTTTCTCCATCCTTCTTCTCGCTCTCCTCCTCTTCCTCCTCCCCGGTGTCCCCCCCCACCCCCCACTTTTCAAACTGTTAACAAATGCAGATGAAGTCTGGCAGGCAGGGCAGGTCCCAAGGCTGAGACCAGAAATGAATTGGTGCCCCCGCTCCTCCCCGCCACCCCCCACCCCGGGGCTTGTCTCTGGCTCTCCCGGAGTGGGAGTGTCCTGCCTTGAGCCCCACGAAGCTGTGCCTCCTCCCCCAGGTCCAGCAAGCCTCCACGCCATGGGTCTCTCATGAGGGTGCCATTAGCGCCCCCCAGAATCATAGCAGCAGGCCTGGGCCTGGGGGGAACCACGTGCACGGGGCTTCCTCCCTGGGGACTGTAGCTGCCGTGCGGGGTGCACATCTCTCTTGTCCTCCAAGACGTGGGAGATGAAGCGAATGGGGGTGATCGGACCAAACTCAGGAGGTGGCGCCGGGGCGGCCTTCCTCTTTCCGCCTTGGCAGGTGTCGGCCATGTGTGAAGCTCCCCAGAGACAGGCAGGGGACCCTGGGAGCCACAGGGGTCTCCCTCATGCACTCAGAGCACTGGTTTCTTGGGGCCAGAGTGATCCAGGCTTTTCTTGCTGCCTCTTGCCCATGTGTGGCCAGGCATTTTCCAGACCTGCTGCTCAGCTCTACCTATCTGAGGCTTTGGGCTTTGAGTCTAAGCGGAACTCTGCACATTGTCGGTGCCTAGAAAAACACTTGGCCCCGGGGCCGCCTTCTGGGGGCAGAGAGAGGATGCCTGGGAGAAGCCAACTGTTGGGACTTTATCCAGAGACACTATAGTCTAGCATTGACTTGGGACCAGATGGTAGGTCTGTGATTATACCCGGTCGTTGGGATTATCTGTGTGATGTCCGCCTCTGTCCCCGAGAGCACAGCTCCCTGGAAGCTAGGACCCCAGCGCCCAGCACAGAGCCTGGCACAGAGCAGGTGGGGGGAAGTGTCTGTTCAATGAATGAGTGAATAGAAAAGTGCCCGTGCATGTGCACAGGCCAGGTGAGCCAGCGGGCGTCCTGGACTTCACCTGCGGGGCTAGGCCTGGCTCTGGGGCTGCCGCTGGCAGAGCCAGCCGAGGGCCCACTCCTTGATTTCCCCTTGATGTGCTCCACTGGCCTCTTGTTCTGCCCCTTCCTGAACGGAAAATGTGAGGCCTGGCCTCCAGAAGGGATGCGAGGGGGTGGGGAGCGGACATTACTCACCTCCCCGGCAGACAGGAAGCCAGCGCCAGGGGAGAGCAGAGGGTCCCGCTTCCCTCTTCCTGCACTGTCGTCTTCCTGCAGGGCCGTGGGGGTGGGGTTGGCTGGGCCGGATCCCTGGGCTGTCCTGGGGCCTTCCTTTCATAGCTTCTGGTTTGTGCCTCTGAGATGAGACCACTCCTCCAAGCCTTTGGGACCACCCCCCACTTTCCCCCTTTCCTCCATCCAGTGCCCCATGCCAGCCCTTCTTGCCTCCCCTCCTGTGCCCATTACCAGGCAGTGAGGGGCCTTTGGTTCTCTTGGGGCTCTTAATCAATCGGTTTTGTCATGCGAAGGCTGATAAGCCCTCTTCTGCCTTTGGGACAGAGAGGGACAGGGGCAAGGACCCAGGATCCGGTGGGCTTGAAGCTGCCTGAGGGGAGGCGTGCCTTTGGAGAAATGTATTTTCTGTTTCCCCTGGTTTCACAAGTATTAGATTTAGTGTAGAAAATTTAGGAAAAAATGGAGCAAAAAAAATCAAAATGACCAATATTTGGGGCATCTTTTTCTCAGTCTTTTCTGTGGACATAATAAAAGTCTTGTTTTCTTAAAAAAAAAAAAAAGGCAGGGAGATCGTGTCGTGTTGCAACCCCTTTTTTCCTCCTAATGTCATTTGCCTCTCCTGTCGGTGATGTGGCACTTTTTAAAGATGCCCAGTCATCCCAGTGACTGGAATCCCCATCCCCAAGCCAGCCGAGTGCTTGGAGCTCTGACCGAGCCTTTCCTACGGGGAAGGACATGTCCTCTCCTAAGGGGAAGTGACTCGCCCAGACTGCAGGCGACCACAAGGGTCTCTCTGACCCTGCAGCTGGCGTTAGGGTCATTCGTGGAAAGGACATGCAAGTCCCTCTTTTTCATTACCGCAAACGGAGCCACAGGGAGCCTCCGGGGGCTGAGGCCCTGCACCGGCCCAAATGTCTTCTCCTGGGCTCTCTCCCCAGTCCCAACCACGGAGTAGAT